CTCTTCTTCCTCTTTCACTTCCTCTCTCCTTTACCTTTCCTTTCCTTTTCCCTTACCTCTGCAAACCCTAAAACTTGAAGCTTAGCATCTCTATCAACCTTCCTCCTTCCTTTTCCTGCTCATCCTTCTTCTTTCTTCTTCTTATTCTTTCTCTCTCTCTTTTCCCTTTTTCTTCCTCTCCAGATCTGGGTTTTTCTCAAATCTAGATCTGATTATTCTCAAGACCTTCAACTCGAAAGCAGCATCTGTTGTCCTCTCTTCTTCCCTTATGTACGCAAACCAAATGTCCTTCTCTCCGGCTACAATATTTTGAAGAGACTTTTTGTTTCTACCAATTCCTTTTGTCTTTCATTTTACCCATCCTTGCGACGCTAACCCTAGATGATGAAGCTCGTTCTATGCCGATCAACAACTTTGCTATTTTCCAATGTCCTAAGACCCAAGTTGTTGTTCTCAGTTTCCTCAAGATCTTGAACTCTCCCGATCCGAAAATCTTTCACTTAACTCTGGTAACAATTTTGAGAAAAACCCAGATCTGGGTTTCATCACAGATGTTCCCAATGGTGCTTTGCCTCTACTTTATTGTCACTTTCTTTATCATCCATTTGGTTCTTGATTCCTTTTGGCATGTTGTAGGATTAAGGTTTCCATAACCAATTCCAGTTTTTTGATACAACAAGCTCAAAAGGAACATTGGTGGTGTCATCGAAGATGTGGCACGAGGCTCGAAGATCGGAAAGGAAGGTGCATGACATGATGGATGCAGCTCAGAGGAGAGCGCAAAAGAGGGCTATCTTCTTGGCGAAGAGGCACGGTGATCCTCAACAATCAATTTAGCTCATCGGATCTCACTACTGCATCCATTGCAATAATGCTCTCTACTATGCCACCCAAGACGAGCAAGGCTTGTAAGCCTACTATATCCCCTAGTTTTCCGTACTATTAATGGTTTATTTACTGTAATTCCATTTTCATCACAATTTCAGTAGTTTTTGAGAATTGCATTAGAATTGACCATTGTTGCACTTGATTTCATATGATTGTGGAATGAAAATGCACGTTTATTTTCATCAAAGTTTGGTGGATTTGAGAAAAACCTAGATTTGGAGAGGAAGTAGAAGGGAGAAGAAAGAGAATAAGAATAAGAAGAAGAAAGAAGAAGGATGAGCAGGGAAAGGAAGGAGGAAGGTTGATAAAGCTACTAAGCTTCAAGTTTTAGGGTTTGTAGAGCTAAGGGAAAAGGAAAGTTAAAGGAGAGAGAAAGTGAAAGAGGAAGAAGAGATTTTTTTTTTTTTCTGATGTGGATGGAGAAAAAGGACATCATTATTTTTAAATTAAATAAAAATGCCAACTTATAAAAAAAAATGTCCAATTATGTTTTTTTTTTCGATGTCATTAGTTAAGAAAAAAAAGAATTGATTCACTAGCAAGTTAACATGCCACCTGTTCATTTAATTGATGGAAGAATCATTTTGGTACCGAAAATGAAAATTTAAGGATAATTTCGAAATTTTTTAGAGTTGAAGGATAATTTTGGTACCAAAGTGGAAAGTTGAGGGAACAAAATGGTATTTAAACCAAAAGATAACTAATCAATAATCCCAACTTATCTAATCTAATTTAAATGATAGCAACCTAAATAATAGGAAAAACAAATAAATGACTTAAACTTCCTAAATTATAAAGATAATAGCTAAAAACTAAGATCTACTTTCCAACATAGTGTTGGTCCCGGAAATTCACCATTAACTGTAAGTATGTCTTTCGTGCTGCATAACCTTGTATATGGGGCTTCCTTCACCTACAGAAACAATTTATGATAAATGAAAGAGTATTTTGATTTCTCATTAAAAAATAGAAACTGGGATATGTACTTACAACAAACTTGTAACGCGCGCTCGCTTTGCAATGGTAGAAAAAGAAAAAAAGAACCCTAAGAGTAGGGAAGTAGAGACTTTCATATTGGATTCTAAATGGGGATGTATGAATAAATCAGAGTAGGATCGAGCCGGTCAGGTATAAGTAGAGGTGCATGAAGTATAATTAAACACTTAAACGGTTTTATATAGAAGGGATCAAAGTATTGTGTAGAAAATTTTTAAAGGAAGTCTATAAAAATATTATATTTTAATTAATATTTTTAAAAATCGATTGTTGAATTGAAAATTCTTTTAATATAAATTATGTATGCTAATTTTTTGACTGATTTAATTGGCCCAGTCATTTTGTTAATCATACAAAATTAAATATTGATAAATATAAATTAGTAAATATAGTTTTATCAATTAAAGGATTATAAATGTTTAAATTAATTTAAAAATTAACATTTATAATTTATATAAATAAAAATTTTAATCTAATCCAAATTGATTTTTTAAAATATTAATTACAATATAAATTTTTAAATAGGTTTGTCAAAATATTTGAAAGGACAACGTGCACCATGTAGGTAATAGGAGTTTGTTGCCTTCAGTAAAGAATCATAAGAAAGTACATATATTTTTTTAATTTAAATGCAGATTTTGTACGTAATAATCTTGGTGCATCTTTCTTCTCCATTTAATTAAACTTTTCCGGACTAACATCTATTTTTAACATCTACATGCGTACCGATTAATAAGTAAGCAAGTTGGACTTAAGTTTTTTTTTTTTTTCTTTTTTTCTTTTTATCAGCAAACCAAATCTGTAATATATTACTTGGAGGTATAAGAAATACTCCAAAACACCATTAAGAATCCTTTACATACAATCCATAAAAACTGACAAAGCACACAACAAAACAAGCAGGCACCCAGCTAACAAAACAATCAATTCCTTTGTAGATATTAAAATTCTTCTAGTTCCTTTGATGTTTGGCAATGTCGATCGCACATTCCGCCGGCCTCAATGTCCAATTACAATTAAAAAAAAAAAAAACCACAACCAGCTTTCCTTGGTTTTTATCCATAAAAAAGCTTTTTCTTGAATAGCGTCCCGCGGAACACATCCCCGTCCCGAATATTTTTGAGTTTCTTCAGCACCAAATATACCAAGATACCACTAAAAATATAAGCCCAACAACCTCCTTCCCCCCTGCCCACCTACATCCATCACCCAGCACTCCGCCAACCCCAATATAGCACTAGCAACTTGTTCTAATTTAATTATTAAAATATAATATAAAAACAATTAATTTAATCAGTTTTTACTTTTTATATATATGATTGCATATTTAAGTTTGTTTATCTTTAAATTCAAATAAAAAAAATTATGATTTTTTAATAAATATATTATGTAATATGTTAAATTAAAATGTATATCTATAAGAATCCTCAAAAAGTAATCCCCAATCAAAAATTGTTACTTTAAAAGAAGTGTATCTACCCCCAAATTAAATTACACCCTTTCTTATCAAACACAACATCTGTAGGAGATAAAAAAATTATATTCAGCCTTCACAGTATAAGCACCACTACTATCATACACCTATCTCCATATGTCAGCAAGTTGGACTTAAGTAACAAAGGTAAAATATTAAAGGCTTAAATCCCACTACGTCTTCTATAATATTCCATATTTCTCTTCAATCATGCATCCAAGAGTCCAAGTTCAATAGTTTGGCACATAATTCATGGGAGAACCATAAGATCTTCGTTCCTATCAATTTTGGGGATGGGATCTCCACAAGTAATTCTAACGGGGTAAATTTTGGGGATGTTTCTCAAGTTTAACTAGTTATATTGATAATTATTCCTTACTCCCTATAAAAGGTAGGAATTGTCAAGTCTTAATATTGACAATTTTTACCAAACTAAAAAAATAAATGAGACATATATATTCCTTAATTTTTGTTATTGTAAAAAATAAAAATAAAAATCAAGATTTAATTATTCCTAACTCCATATAAAAATTTCTCTGGGGTAGTTTGTTTATAGTTTAAAGAAAGTTTCTCTTGAAATCCATTCACCAAATTTTCTGTTTCTTTAACTCTCTGGTATTGACAAATTTGGGAGGCAAATGCACATTCTCTTAGTCGGGGAGCACAAAAGTCTACCGGCACTTAACCCATATGGTGGGAAAATGCAGTTTTGCCTGACAAAATCATGTTCTCTTTTTTTTTTTTTAATGATTAGTACATATTATTTAGCCTTAGTTTAAGAAAATAATTAATACATATTAAATTTAACATATTTTTAACACTTATTTTAATTTAATTATTAAATATAATATAAATATAATCAATTTAATTAGTTTTATATTATATATTAAATTTAACATATTTTTAACACTTATTTTAATTTAATTATTAAATATAATATAAATATAATCAATTTAATTAGTTTTATATTATATAAAT